TTTAAATCGATCTGTCCGTTAAACGCACGTACTAATCCGATTATAATTCTTTTTGGGATTTGACCGATTATTGCATTTGAAATATTTGAACTCAATACACCTTTACTTAGCGTAAACACCTTAATATTGACTCGTCGATAAGACATTTTAACTACAGAATTTTCTAATGCTTTTTCCATTCCAATTAATATGCTAGGACTAACTTCTATTTTGTTTACTTTTAACGCAATATTCTTTAATCTAATCTGATAATTATCGTTTTTTGTCATTAAAGCAAAAGCGTCTTTTTGAACGTTCCAATTTTATCCGAACATCTATGTCGTTTATCGATAATTTAGGTTGATTAATAAAATCGAAATGAAGTCGTCCATATAAATCGAATACTTGACTTTTGCTACTTGTCTTAAACCTAGTGATTAATCCTTCATTCTTGGCATCTTTAATCAGATCGGTTTCGTTTAAAAATCCAGTGGTATCTTTGTGCTTCTTCAGACAAAAATAAGAGAGCATCTATTATCGCCTTATAGAGATAGTTAATATGCATTGATACTAATTTCTCATTAAACAAAGTGGTGCATCGTAAAAACATACTATGCAATAAATTATTTACTGGAGTAACGAGATCAGTATCCAAAGTAGACGTTCCATTTCGTTTGGTAACGGATAATTGAGCATTAATCGAAATACTGCTCAAATCTATTAAGTTTTCACTCGAACCTAGAATTAAAAATTCTATAGGAGATGTTTGGTCAGTTACTGAGGCTATAGGGAAAACGATTGTTGGGATAGAATTTTCTATAGACAATTGTGTCGGTATTGTTTTAAAGAAATCTAGCTCGGACTTCACGTACGGACAAGATAATACATCCATTTTCTTAAGAAAAAATATCGACTTCCTTTTACAAATTCTCAAGTTGCCGCGTAAATCCAAATCAAGAATAAATATGTAAAATAGAAACGGAAGTGTACGATAACGCAAACTGCTTATGTCTATCAAGTATAGTGTCAACAAAAATTCATTATAAGCTAACCAGCGTATTTTAACGCCGGGCATATTTTAAAACAGGTTCTCTGCCAGAGCATTCTCATGCCAGCAGTAGGGAAAGGGTCAACCTTTTAGATCTACGGAATTGCTACAAGAGGACAACCGGCGAATCCATGAAGAATCCTGCAGCTTCCGACATCTTTTATGCCCTTTCCGTTCCTCAAATTGTTCGTGGGAAGGTGCATGTTCCTTTCTCTGTCAACATATTAACGCCTCCCATCCACAAGTTCCCACTATACAACAAGAAATTATTTTCTTTGGAGGAATTGATTTCCAAATTACAAGAAGCACTTGGGCTGCCATCTTGGAATGTTACTCCCAGTCCTTCTTGTTATTAATATTTTCCCAACTTCCCGACCATCCTACCTTTACTATCCATCTTTACTTTTTAGATAAACCTTCCTCTCTTATTCAATTCCGATACAATATTAAATTTAAAAAAGGAGATCACATACTGCGCTGGGGCTCTATTGTTTCCGAAACATATGGAGAAAATCCAACCACCTCTTCTCACCCTGTTCCTTGTTTTGATATATCTTTACCCTTTGTTAAATTCTTTGGCCTTCATCATAATTTTAAATTCATTCTCAACATTACCCCTTTATAGGATGGCCGAAAATCAGGAATGGCAGAGCTTTACCCCTTAACCTTCTCCACCTCTAACAACATCTATAACTACTACAACTACTCCAACCACTACAACCCGCAAAGTCAATGGCAAAGTCAACCCGCAAAGTTAGCTGCTTGTACCGCAAAGATGCGGTACAAGCAGCTATCCACTTCGCCCAAGCATAACCCCAAACCTTCCAAACCATTCCCATTACCCTCATCTTACTTGTGAATTATAGCTGCCCTCCTCAATTAGAGCAAGCCTTACAAGCGGCCAATCAATAGGGAACCAAAAACCACTGATAGAGGAGGTTAAAAAATATAGTGATGTTCTGAGATTGGGCAATAAGCAACCAAAGGTGAATTTGCAACCAGCAACTCCGCAATATACAATCCTTATATATAGCAAGAAAAAGGAAAATATTTCGCAGAAAACTAGAGAAATATTAACAAGTAGAATGATCCAGCAGAAGCACAAATAGGAGTTAAAAGAATTAGACCTATTAAAGATGGAGGAGTGGCAGTGGATTTATGCGGCACTGAGGACTTGTGTAACCTTAAAGAAGCACTAAGAAACGTGAAAGAGTTGGAAACGAAAGAGAGAACAAAGGAAATGCCAAGAGTAAAATTGGTTTCGGTACCAAAAGAACTAGATAGGAAGGAAATTAAAAAACGGATATACGAACAAAATTATTGTTTCTGGAATAACATGTCGAGAGAAATTGTAGAACAAGAAGTGGAAATAAAGTTTTCAGTGCCTCAGAAAGATGAGAATTATGTCACGTGAGTACTAGAGGTATCAGAGATGATAAGAGGAATAATGGTCAAGGAAGAAAAAATGAATATTGGCTGGACAAGGTGCCAGGTTTATGATGTCATTCCAATTATCAGGTGCTACAGATGCTTGGCTTATGGACATTATGCAAGAAATTGCAAGGAAACTAAGGTGGTATGTAGCCATTGCAATAAAGAACACCTATATAAAGATTGTGAAAAGACCACAAAGGCCAAATGCGTAAATTGCATGAAGAATAAAATGGGAAATGCAGAGCATAATGCTTTAGACAAGGATTGTCCAGTTTCTGTCAAAGAACTACAAAAATACGTAAGAGGAGGAAGATAACTCCACGCAAATTGACATCAAATTCTGTACCTATCCATACTTCATCGGCAAAACCACCAGTTGTGGTTCTCTTCTTCAAGAAAAAAAAAATGTATTGGATTTCAACTTTTCTTCTGTTTTATTTCTGTTAAATTCTGTTTAAATTTTAAATCAGGATATAGATTGTCGGGCACAATTGTTTTTGGCAATGTTTTATAGCCACTCTGTTTGTATTATTGTTACCTTGTTTTAAATAAAGCCGATGTAAACGCCCGTGGGGTCCCATGGGGGCCCCTGGTTACCTTTTCTTCACACTGTCCTATCTTTCTTTGTTTCCTCTTCCTGCTTTTTCTGACTTTTCTAACTCCTTCTTTCCTATTTCAAACAGGGCATAAGTCCACCGCTATTTGTAGACAGCCCTCTACCCCCTTTCTACTACATGTACTTAATCCTCCAACCTTTTCCCAACCTCCTCGAAATTCCAACCATCACCACTAATCTCAACCTATGAAATCCTTCTCTTATTCCCACTCCTCATTTTAAAATCTATACGCTAATTACTTTTTCCCCATATATTTCTTTCTATACATAGGCTATATATCATCACTTTTTGTTTTAGTTTTATTATCATTGTAACCATTAATTAAATCGCATATTTACCTGAAGTAACTTAATAGCAATAATAAACATTTATACCTACTCATATGTTTATGTTATTGTGGTTTGTTTTCACCGTGTTGTCATAACGAGAGAGAGAGAGTACTTAATAACTGTAAACTATAAATATCAACACACACGACTATACGCGATGTATCTAGTCTTACAATTTTGCACTGTATTAATTCAAGAAATATCTGGCTGTCAATTTATAACTCTTATATTAATTATATAACTTTATTGTAACCCTAAGAGAGAGAGAGAGAGAGAGAGAGAAAATCAATTATAACTGTTTAACTCAAAATCGATCTTGCCCATTGAGAACAAGCAGGATTTTAGAAAGGCACAAGGTGATGTGAGGATCCAAATCCAGACTTTCTGTGTGTTTATATCATTTCATCATAAGATCACATCGTAGTCATACTTTCATTCCATGGTGTCATAAGATCACAGTGTAGCTATACTTTCGTTCAATAACTGTCAACTGTTACACCTGGGAGTTAAACATCTGTTAAGTTCTCAGGCCTAATAAAGACGCTTTCTCATCACCTTTTGACCTAGTATCGCGATTTTAATAGTTCAACATTAGACAAGAACAACAAAGTGAATCAGTTGTCGCCAGTTTTTCCATCGGATTACTTCTACATAATATCTGTGCTCCTTGGGATACCTCTTCGCTTTTGAATATCAAGAATCGCCTAATATCAAAGGAAAAAGTCAGAACTATTGGACTTAACACTACCTTCCCGAACTTTGTCTTACCGACTGGATCCAGATCAAGATATCAAAAAAGGTATTTATTGCCACGCATATCAATTGTAAACTCTCTCTCTCGAGAACGCTCAGTTAACTTTACTATCGAACTTTACTATCAACATATTGTAAGATATATATTCCCTATCATTACCCATTAAACATTTGTTACGTTAATCTAGTCTACGAAGGAATCACTTTTTCAATTCAATTCAATTCTTTTATTAAACACCCTGTAGGTGCATTCTCAGTACCGTTTAATACATAGCTGAGAGATATATGCACATTATTTATCAAAATATATTTCGCAGATGAAGAAACCGCTTAACATATTGTAAGTAAACAAAAGACGGCGGAGTAGTACATTATTAGTATAAAGTTACATATCGATATCACAGTAGTGAATTAAGATAGAAATACAAGTTTTTGGTGTAACATAGTAGATATATACTTACAATCTGTCATGCAGATTGTTTAACAATATTAATAGAAAGAAATACATAAAGAAAGAAAAAAAAACATAAAGATAAAATAAAGTTAAATTAAGATTAACTAAATCTAAATTAAAACTAAACTTATGACTATCTTAGAACTAAACTTATACTATTTGACAATTTGTTGAGCGTGTTGTATTTATATCGTATTACAGGTGGAGATCCTTCAGATTTCATGAAGTCGAGTTGTTTATTGCACAGTTTATTTTGATGGTGAGTTTTGTCAAAGATCATCAATGATGAAGCCATTAATAGTTTATAACAGATGTTAGGGTAACACAGACTGTCGACCATTTAAAGTTTATGGAGCGAAGTCGTATGTTCCACAATGTCTTCCCAATCAGATGGTGTATTCTTGTCTAATCACATCATNTTGTACAAGTTGTTGTGGAATCATTTCCCAAATATGTTTTGCAATTTTGGCAGTTATACCATCAACGCCTGGAGATTTTCCTTCTTTTAGTCTACCGATGGCGTTATTTATTTCCTGATAAGTAAACTGAGAAGAGTTACCAGTGTTCATATGTTTGTTTATGTTTTCTCTTAATGATCTCTGCCAAGGGGTGTCCTTTGCAGCGCAGTCTGAGATACAATAGCTATCCATTCGCTGCTTCAGGGTGTTTAAAAGGGTTGTATCAATAGTTGATTGCGTTATTGTTTCAGGGTCATTATTTATTAGTATTTGTTGCTTTCGTAATTTATTCGTACATAATTTAGTAAGGTATCCCCATGGGTTGGATGAGGCAGCAGTACAATAATCTTGCCAAGATTGTATTTTCGCATTCTTTATTTTTCTTTTATAGAAGACTTGATGTGTATAATATTCTTGTTTAAATATAGTACGATTTGGTTCATTTCGACATTTTTGATATCTTCTTCGCAGGTAATTATTTGTTTTTCGAAGATCAGTGAGCTCGTTATTCCACCAAGGTACAGATTTCAATCTAGGATTTGTTTTAGGAATATATCTATGACATGCTTGTTCAATTGTCTTAATATTAGAATCGAGAGTTTGTTCGATGATTTCTTTGTTAGAAATATTATTCATATTATTATATGTCAATAGATTGTTTGATAGATAGCGGAGCATACCTTCCCAATCAGCCAGAGCTAGATTAAACCTAGGCTTATCTACGGATGCAGTTTGTGCACTGCCGTTGTTTTTAAGCTGAAATGAAATGTAAGCATGATCACTGAGACTACTTTCAGCGAGAACTCTCCAGTTTTCTAACTCAGTTATACATTCTGAACTGCATACTGCAACATCTATCCATGTTTCCCCATAACTAGTTACATAAGTGGGAGGGGATAGCGGATTGTTTAATAATTGTAATCCATTAGTGGCTATAAAATCTTCAAAAATGCCTCCACGGTGGTCATGCTGATAACCGCCCCATGCAGGTGAATGTGCATTTATGTCCCCCGCAATGATAAACCGAGCATTATGAAATTTATTAATTAGATTCTGTAGTTTGTCGATAATAATATTCAGATTCATGTCGCGTGGACAATAAATATTGATAATTATGTAAGTATTGTTATTAAAATAAATTTCATTACATACAATGTATTCATTCGACAAGATCTTGTGATGAAGGATAGTAAAATTGATGTTAGTAATAACATTAATTGCCCAAGGATAGTTTTCAGTGCCCTTAAGAATTGAATAGCGAGTTGGTAAGCATGCCGGATTATTGTGTAGACAATAGGGCTCTTGTATTAAAATAAAATCATATTTGTGGCAGATAGATGCAAGAAGAGAAGTTGCTGAAATACGTTTTCCCAAATTGATCTGCAGAAAACGTATACCGTTATTACTGCTAAATGCCATATTCTGTTCGTTGTATGATGGTATTTTTAACCCGTTGAAAGACAGGGCAGGAGCTATCTCTTGCGTTGTGGTTTAAAGTATTCAGTTTATTGTGATGACAGTTAATACATCTCGTTTTAGTAGTCTTATTAGGGCATTGTTTATATGTATGTTCCCCGGCGCATTGACTACATGTTGGTATTTCTTGTTCACAGTATTTGGTGGAGTGTCCGTATTTACAGCAACTCACTTATTAAAGGAATCACTTCCAGTGCGTTGTCTCTCCTATCTCGACTCTGATCCTCCGTTACGCGACCGCTCACTTGACCTAAATAACGTGGCTTCCATGTCCGCCGAGACGTACTGGTGTCATCCTGACAGGGCACCAAAGAGGTGCTGACCCTTCGGTCACACATTGTATTAATGAAATAATCCTTGTCAATGTGTAATTTTATTCCTGATTTTTCTGTACTTGATGAAAATATACACATTATAAATATTGAAAATACTAAATACAATTTTTAAGGATCTAATTTATGTGAACTATAATTTCTGGTTTTGAAATAACTTTTTTCTTGATATCATTTGCTAGTTACTCCTTGAAACGAGAGTCGTTTAATTTTAACCTTTGTGAGGTGATGCGATTTTATATTATAAAAAATGCACTATACGAAATTTTGTAAAAATTCAGTAAACCTATTGGAATCCATATGTAAATACGACGACTGGGGAAGGGGAAGTAATGAGAAGATGCACTTCTTTTTAATGCTTCTCTCAGTCGGCATGCCTCGTAGATGTTGTAATTCTATCGTATTTAAAACTGAATAAGGTTCGGCAAATGATGCAACGAGCCGATCAAATATCATCATCATTACAATTTAACTAAGTTTTGAATTTTTTCACTCAAGACAGGTGTTCCTATATGCACAATTCGAGGAAAAGAAGAATCAAATAAATGCCTAGTCTAATTTATCTTGAAAAAGCAATTTTTTTAAACTCAAAACAGCAGTAAATTATTTATTGGAATCCATATCGAAAATAAAAGACCTGCAAAATTAATCATGTTCAATGATATTAAAACAAACAATAACGCTACTACATTATTGCATTTCAACAATAACATCATCTGTGACCAAAATGGTAAGTCTTTCATTTATTTGCATATTATACTGTATTTAATTTATCAAACACACAAAAGTCTTGCTTTTCTATATGTACTGTACAATTGTCCGAGTGATAAAGTTGGCTTGACGTAGTTCGACCGCACAGCTCCGGAAGCAGCTCACTTAACCCTTCCTAAAGCGTGTAACTTACCGACCGCACTATTTTCACGCGGTGTCTCACAGAATCAATTTTTTTTTCTAAAATTATAAAATTATTGGCTTCGCTTCAAAAATTATAATTACATCTTTGTTTTCGCAATTTTCTCTACTTTCGAACAGCAAATGCTTTATTTGCATCGAATTTAATGTAATTTGATACAAAAAACGCAAAAAATAAACATATCAAATTTCAACTCGTTGTAATTTATCTCCTGTTTCACCAATTGCTATCGAATTTGTTTGTAAATGGGGAAGAAATATTACACTTTCAAGTGAAGTGAGTAGAATTTTCTAACTACTGCAAAAAAATTTGTCATCAGACCCCGCGTTACCCCTTACCGCGAAAGTCAATAAACGTTAATTGTTTTATGACTCTATTTTCAACACCTCTCTTCTGAGTTGTAAATTGACTGAGAAAATTTTTACTTTATTTTACTNAGTGAAGTGAGTAGAATTTTCTAACTACTGCAAAAAAATTTGTCATCAGACCCCGCGTTACCCCTTACCGCGAAAGTCAATAAACGTTAATTGTTTTATGACTCTATTTTCAACACCTCTCTTCTGAGTTGTAAATTGACTGAGAAAATTTTTACTTTATTTTACTCATAAAAATGTTTTTTTTCAATATTTAACAGATAGTTTTCTTAGATCTTTACATATTAATTTTATTTTCAATTTTTGATGTGGTATAGTCGTGTGTTAGGGTTAAATCGATCACCTAATATAAAAATGGACATCGCTCAAAATATTATAGAATCCATCAAAATTTCTTGCTGATAGTTTAGATATAAATGTTTTCTGTGCATGAAATGAAGCAACCAAAAAAATACAGGGTGGACCATCAAAAATTCGGCAATTTACGACATGATGTAAAAGGCATAAATTCTTTTATTTATAACTAAAAATATTCTCGAAATTTAATCGAAAAAATGCATTTGCATCAATACCTAAATGAAATAGTTATGCAAGAAACAAAAATTGTGCTATTAGCGCCATTTGTTTTAGCGTAATTAATTTTGAAAAATTTTTGTGAAAATCCGACCTTTTTAAGAAAGTTTTTATTAATAACAAGATATGTTTCTTTCATCATCATTTTCGTTGTTTCTCCCGTTCTCACCCTAATATCCGAGGAATAAACCCGGATAATAAACTGCGTAGTTAGAGTGACATTCGTCGTCCGAAGGTCATCGACGAGGGACCACGATGTCACGTGACCCTCATACGTCGGCAGCGACCGAACGAAAAAAATGACCAAATAAGGTCATTCATCTCCCTAGGTGATGACGAATTTAACAGTAATTGGTCAAACGATGTCTGCATTGTCGTCACCCATGACGGGGGAGACTGTCATAAATCTGGAGAGCTGTCAAAAGAGTAGCAGATTTTCCCACGCTATAGAGTATATAAAGGGGTCAAATTTTCTACTCCGGGCGCTTGGCTGAGGAGCTAACGCCGAAGAAACCCCTCTGCAAACCTCAAGAGCGATCGTCGCACGATCTTCCAGCACTCTCAGGATCTAAGAAGCTCATAATTGCCGCTCCATGAAAGGTAAAGGACTTTGCTTATTTTCTATTCTCTCCATATACGATGGAATTACTCCTCGGAGAGATTGATTGAAGAAACCTCCGAAAGAACTTCGTTAAGAAAGAACTCTACATATTGGGAGCGACGGAGCATACACATCGCTCCACATAGCCTTCAAAGGACACCTCAGAATACAAGACGACGATCACAGAGTGTTTTATCAACGCCCTATGACGTGATAACGTTTCCTACGAGGTAAACCCTTACCAATATTGATCTCTCTCTAACGTAAGCTCTCTCTCGAAGTCTAGCGTTAGGTTAGAATAGATTTTAGTAAGATATTTATTTATATCTTAACGCGCGGGTTATATTTATTATCTTATGTATAGTCTTATCTTAGTTGTTTATTAAATGTGTTCGTTAATTTAAACCTGTGTAGTCTTTGACCACACGACTTCCGACTCCTCCCCACTCATATTTTTGCCCTCCTATTGCCATCCGACAACCGAGAGCGGGTCTTCCCGACCCGTGCAGATTAAGTGGTCATTAGGGTTCGACCCAGTGACCCCCTGCTGCTCACATATTTGTCGCTGTTATTTATCGCGTGGACAAACGCGATTTCTCGCAGAGTATAAGACTTCGCTGAGTGTAATAATAAATTCCGATATCTCGGTTTAAAATCGGGCTAGAATCGCCCATTTTCATTATTTTTGCCGCAAATGTCTCACAGTTTACGATTATTAAATGTATTAAAAATTTTAAATTTTTTAGGAAAAAAGTAAAAATTAAAAAATCTATAAACGTTCTGTTTAATTTGAAACATTTGTTAGCTAGACACATCTGTTTTCTTTTAAACAAAACAAACTTCAGCTCTCTATCTAGAGCGGAGGAGAAGTTATTGCCATAATTCACACTACTTCTCAAATTACTTAGCAGGGAGAGGCGTCAATTGTCATCATGAAGCAGTGCCGCAAAGTTTATCAATACATATTTCTGCTTCAAATAGTAAATATTTGACACCGTTTATATATTTTTTTCTACACTTTATGCAATAATACACTATAATAAGCGATCAGTTAATTTTTTTGCGATTACGCAACATCCGGAAGTAATAAGTTTCCCGGTTAATCTTTTAGCTGGAAGCTTTTGTTAAAAAATCTTATCTAAGTAAAGTCAAATAACATGCAAACTAGTAAAAATACGCTCTAAAATATAGAATATAGCAATTTTTTAACGTTTGTTTACATTCTGACTTTGATCACGTGGATTGGTTCTTCGCAGGAAAATCCAGACCAGATGGCTCTGAAAACACTCTCATTCGTTGAAAGTTGATTCTGTCATAATATAAATTACCAATTAGAGTGTAATAGGTGTAGAAATAAAGATTTTAATGCCAATTAACAGCAAGAACATCTTCCATACACTTACTATAGGGATGTGGAGTTTCCCGGGAATATTTATTGCTAGATAGTTTTAAAAACATATTTACATGCCTAAATATTGTCGAATTACCTAAATTAATGTCAAAAACGTTAAATTAGTTGTTTAGAGCTAAAAAAACGACTTAAAAAGCGAATTTATTGCGATTGTTTACATTTTACTTCGAAGGTTGGAGGCGGGACTTTTCGCGGCAATTTTACCTTTCACAATTCTGTGATTAGTTACAGTAATGTCAACAAAGACAGAAGATACCCAATAAAACTTTAGAAGAAGTTTTCCTTTGATTATTTTCAGCCAACTGTGTAGTTTACTGAAAGATTTACTGTAGATTGGTAGGGGAGTGTATTACCAAAATATTTATGGCCCAGGAGTGATAACAATACACTTATTGGCTTAAAAAAA